AGCTCCAGGGCCCCACTAGTTATGTAGCTAGTTATTCGTTCCATTTCTGTTTCACCACCCTTTCAGGCAGTGCATTCCAGACTGTAACAACTCTCTGTGTAAAAAAATGTCTCCTGATCTCCCCTCTGGTTCTTTTGCCAATTATTGTGAATCTAGGTCCACTGGTTACTGACCCATCTGCCAGAGGAATCAGTTTCTCCCTGTCCACTCTATCAAAACCTCTCATAATTTTGAACACCTCTATTAAATCTCCCCTTATCTTTCTCTGCTCTAAGGAGAACAATCCCAGCTTTTCTAGTCTCTCCACATAACTAAAGTCCCTCATCCCTGGTACCATTTTGGTAAATCTCTTCTGCACCCTCGCCAGGGCCCTCACTTTACAGTGAATTCACTTTACAGTTTATTCTGTGAAGCGCTGTGAGATGTCCCAACGATGTGATACTGCGCTATATCAGATTTAAGGATTATTATTAGTCATAGTAGTAGCTTTACTTGTACTCTTAGTTTGGGATGGGTTTCCACATGTGTCATTCACCCGGCTGACCCCAAAACAGGTATCAAAACCCACAGGTTAACCCCAGCCAGGCATCTGACAGGAATGCATTGCTCCCTCACAGCACCCATTCTCCTCAACTATTTTCTAATCTAATTTTTCTCCCATGTTGAACATTTGGCAAACGTGCCGAAACAACTTTATACATCATCATGACTGGAAGCTAAGTAGCTTCCAGTCCCAAAGTCGTCCAATTATTCATAGTGCATTAAATTTGCATCTGAACTGAGCCAATGAATAACCCTTACTTGACCTCAATTACACAATTGCACTATCTTCACATCACGTACGGAACAAATCAGCAAAAAGAGACGTTTGATTTCATTGGATGGAGTGTTAGCCGTTTCTTTGCTTAACCCCTTTGGTGACAAATTTCCTCCTGTTTGTCCCTCGTTCCCTCGTTCCACCATTGGTGGCCGTGCCTTCGGCTACTATGCTCCGAAATTCTGGAACTCGTTCCCTCAATCCCTCTGTCTTTCCCCACTTTCAAAATCCCACCTAAAGACCTTCTTTTTTGATCGTGCTTACGGTCACCTCCTCCCTCTCTCTGGCCTCTGAGACAGAAGGTTGTGCATTCAAGCCGAATATCAAGATTTCAGAGGTGCCATCTTTCGGATGAGACGTTAAACCGAGGTCCTTCTGTCTGTTCAGGTGGATGCTAAGGATTCCCATGACATGTAGCGGCAATTGCTGTCGCTACAGTTTACAATAAAGTTCTTCCAGACGTCCTTCTGACGTGAAAGGCGCTGTGTCAAATGCAAGGACGATTATTATCACGAGCAAAGCAGTGTGTATACCCTACTTCTTCTCACCGCTCATCCCCTGAAGAAACTCTGTTAGGAACGGCCTCACAAGACAGGAGAGGAAATGTCTAACTCACTTTGTGAAGGATCATCAATATTCACCAGAGGTGCTGAACAAAAGATAACGTCGCAACAGCGGAACGCATTCCTCCACAGCAAGAGCAGCGAGCAAACAATGCTTTGTGGAGTGTTTTGCTGATACTGGGGTGTTCTGTAATTATGTAATTATGCAATGCTCAGCCTTATTCGTACATATTCTAGATTGACACCGCTAGACATGAAAAGTATAATAACCCCTTCAAATAATAATAATTTGGTCAGTTCTCGACAGTTTGTGGAACAATTGGCTGCCTCGTTTCGCCCACAAATTATACAGTCAATTCACTTTACCCTGTATTCTGTGAAGCACTCTGAGACATCTCGAAGACATGATAAGGCGCTTTATCAAATGCAAGGATGATTATTATTATTATTATTATTATCTTGTTATTGCTCTGAGAGCCAGTCTTCACTTATCAGATCATTTAATAATGAAGACAATGGTGGGACTGTGCTCAACTCAACTGCACTCTGGAAGTTGGTCCTTTCTAGGAACTACGTTGGGGGGTTGTGAGGGGACAGCTGGTGCAGATAAGGTGCAAACGTCGAGGTCCCTGGCTGTCGAAGTTGTTTACGTCAAATGCGAGAACGAACGTAGAATCTTACAGCACAGAAGGAGGCCATTCAGCCCATCGTGTTTGTGCCGGCTTCTTGAAAGAGCTGTCAACTAGCCCCACCCCACCTCTCTTACCCCATAGCCCTGCAAGCTTTTTATTTTCAAGTTTATATCCTCTTGAAAGTCATTATTGAATCTGCTTTCCTTTCAGACAGTGCATTCCAGATCTTCGCTGCGTAAAAAACAAATTCCCCTCATCTCCCCTCCGGTTCTTTTGCCAAAGTATCTTTAAAAGAGCTGTAAGTTGCATGATAAATAAAGCATAGTCTGTTGTGGGCAGCCCAGGCAAAGGGGAACTTTTAACAGAGGAACACGAAGGCTAGGTGCATTGTTCCCAAGCACTGCATCACATCTGTTTCCTGCTGCTGAGCTGGAAAGAAAAGAGTTAACCTTTGGGTTGTGATCTTTAAACTCCCAATGTAAGATCACACCAATGCTGGCAATGCCTCTTGTATTGCATGCAGTGGGGAACGTCTAACATTAGGCTCTAAGAACAGTAAAGAGATTGACCTGTGCAGACTTCCTCCCCCAAGCACCGTTACCTAGCGACTGCTCAGCTTAACAGGGGGAAGAGGAAGAAACTGAACCATGAAACAAACAGGATATTTGCATCTTGTGAATTAACAGTGGATCAAAAACAACAACAATAAATACAGTGACAATAATCCTAGTCCGGTATTGGATGCAGCTCCTTTCGTCTCCGCAGGACGTCCCAAAGCGCTTCACGGGAATATTTTATTGTCAAGTGGAGTGAATTTAGTGGCCAATTTGCACACAGCTTTGCTGTCCCACAAACAGCCGTGAAGTGAATGAGCATTTCTTTTAATATAATTCCGGGGATTGTTAGCCAGGACACCGGGAGAGAGAATACTTCCTTCTCTTTTCGAACACATACAGACGGGACTTTGGTTTAACGCCTCATCCGAAGGACGACACCTCCGACAATGCAGCACTGATGCCCCCCACTCTCAGCGCTGTATTGGAGCGTCAACTGGGTCGAAAGACCCTGGTGTGGGGTGACTGAAGTGGAATCGGGTACATTGACAAAGAGAGAGAGAAATCAGCGGTTTGCTGGAGCAGAACGTGAAGAGTACAAGAATTGCCTGGGGGCACTGGGAATAATGAGCTGCAACACAGTGCTATCAGCCAGGCCGCACAGGAAATCGAACAGGGCTGGGAGACCATCAACGATACCAAAGGTGAGGAAATGCCGGTTAATCTTCCCGGCGAGGCGAGCGCCACGTGAGCATTTTGTGAATGAGTTGTAACTCGGGCACGCGAGAGCACAGTGTCTGTGATTGTTTTGGGGGGTGGGGGGGGTCAGCCGAGGTGTCTGACACATGCGGAAAGCCATCACCGTCTGCTTGAGAGTCTCCAAACCAAGCTGAGAATACCAGGCATCCCACCGACACGTGGAGATCCCGGAGATAGATTGTTGGGATGGAATGCGTGCTCTCTCTCCCTGGAGGGACGTATCCCGCTTAGCACGGTTTGGCAAGAGCCAAGGCTTGGGGACCCTAGAGTGTGCGTTGGGGGGTAACAGCTGGAGACTAACCAGATAAAACCATATAACTTGCCTTGATATCTCAATTGCAATTGGACACAGGCAGAAGCACATTGGACTCTGAGATAAGACAGGCAAGTGTTCATACCTGCCTCCCTACCTGTCTGGGCTGGGGACAATCCATCGGATTTCTTAACCGAAGCTGGCGATCACAGGATATGCCACAAAATGTAATCAGCCACAGGTGATAGGGTGGGAAATGGGCTTCCAATCTAACCCAGTCAGGCACAGTGAAGATCCCTGCCCTCGTGGAGATTTAACTGTGGCTTTTGATCAAAGCAAGTCCACGTGTGTTGTTGCTCTCACGTTCGCCTCAGCCAAACCGAGCTGGTTTTGGAAGTGGAGATGAGCCTTGGAATGAGTGGAGCGTCAGGAACAATAACTGAACATGAGACCTGCCAACACGTCAGTACCGCTCAGTGTCTGAGCCAGTCAGACATGGTGACGTAACTGAGGGCAAGGCCAGGCGATAACTCGCAACATTCCTCTGGCACCGGTAGCAGCGAGATACAGGATGACCTTCACATTTCATTGTCATGTAGTTTTTATTCCTTACCTCAAATACACACACACACTCACTCGCGCGCTCACACACGCACGCACGCACACACACGCAGTCTAGGTTGATGTTTCAGTGCAGAGCTGGGGGTGCACTGGATTGCGGGAGGTTGCCTCCCTTACGGATACGAGTCGTTAAACCAAGGTCCAATCTGTGCCCTGTACAGGTGGTCACTAAAGATCTTTTTTTGGCGCTAGTCAAAGAGAGCAGGGAGTTCCTCTCTCTCCCAGCGAACTGGCCGACAATCCCTCAGATTTCAAATGGACATTCAACCTCACGGCTGTTTGGGGGACAAACTAACAAACTAGCTGCCGCGACATCCTACAATATACACGGTCTCCACCGGAAGACATTAGGAAAACCAGTCACTGGCGGCCACCAAAGTGCACATCAGCAGCTAACCAGGAAACGTCACGTCACCAAGGAGCACATCACGGCGACCTTCTCTACATAATAATTTGAGGATAATAATCCCTCAAACAAACAAAAATTTGGTCACTCAATCCATTACTGCTTGTGGGACGCTGCTGTGCGCAATTGGCTGCCTTGTTTCGCCCACAAAATACAGTCACTGCACTTTACAGTATGTTCTGAAAAAGCACTTTGAGACGTCTCGAAGCCGTGATAAGACGTTGAGATGTATCAAATGCAAGGATTATTATTATTACTATTATTGTTAAAGATGGGAAGATCAAGCTGATTGATCTGCCGCTGGATCATATACACCCACACTTATCTGAGCGCGAGGCCTACATGGAGTCTGAGAACCTGGACGACTACAACATAACCCTGGCGGGGATGCTTACCTGGGGGCATGATTCTGTGCATGGCGACCGAGAGGAAGAAAATGGAGTCACTGTAGTAGGTGCCGGAGCCAGCACTGAAGCGCTTCTGCATGGCTTCAACGATGGGGAAGAGCTTATGAGTCAGGGAATCCACATCGTGGAAGGTGACCTGCCAAAGGTGGAAGAAGGCACATTAAAATATCGTTAAAATAATAATAGTAATAATAATAATCCTTGCATTTTGTGTAGCGCCTTATCACGTCGTTGAGACGTCTCAAAGCGCTTCGCAGAATATGCTGTAAAATGGATTGACTGTGGAACGCGGCAGTGTCCCACAAACACTCGTGGATTGAGTGACCAAATTATTATGATTTTTTAGAGGGATTATTACCCCCCGGAAAAGCGACTTACGACCGGGTTCCTGCTTACTGCTGGGAAAACAGGCGTATGGAGTAGGAAAACTTGCCTATGGTTTTGCCCTGCCCTGGAATCGAACCCGGGTCCTCTCGCTTCCCAGGCGGGGGTGCCAACCACTCTGCTACATTGTTAAACGGTGTCCTTTTAGAGAAGAGTTGGGAGCTTTCCTTCTGATGAACGAATAAATCGGTCGCCGATCTGACACCTTGCTGCTACTGAGCAGCTGCCACAATCTAGCAGTCACTTTGCTCGAACGCAACCCATTGTGTGAGGAGCTTTGGGGGGAGGCGTTGGGGCCGTTGTGGCACGGCTTGTGCGGACTGGCCAGCAAGCGCTGCACATCAAGTCATTGTTTGTACCATCCACATGCCCCCACCCTTTGGAAGTCCATCCCGCATTCCCTTCGCCTCACTCCCTCCTTTGCCTCCTTCAAGGCATGTTTCAAGACCCTCCTCTTCGACCGTGCCTTCAGCCAACCTCCCTGACCTCTACCCTCCCATATCCCAACGCCCCCCACCCTCACTCGACTCGGTTAAAAATCCTCGACTGTTCAGCGCCTTGGGACGTCCTCCCGACACTAAAGGTGCCATACTAATGTAATTTTGTATTGCATTGTATTTATTCCACTTGCACAGAATAAAGTGATTGGTTTTAAATCTCTGCACAACCAGACATCTGACTCAAGTCTCTTTTTCCCTGAGAGCAGCACAGACACAGACACGGGAAGAAATGTGTGGTGCGACTGGAAAGAAGGTGGACGAACAATCTTAAAAATAAATGAAAGGCAGTAAAAATTGCTCCATAACCACACAGTGGTACAATGCCGAGAGCTCCACATTTACTGGGGACGATTTATTTAACAGTCCAGATGTTTAGCTCAGAACTTCTGCCAATGTGTGTGTAAAGGAGAGTGTACGTCTGAGTGTGTGTGTGTGTGAGAGTGAGGAGTGATGAGCGCTTCTGTGTGAAAGCGAGTGTGTGTGCACATCCGTGTGTGTGTAAAAGCCTGCGTGTGTGTATGTGTGTGTGCGTACTTCTGCAAGGAACACACTATCTTACTTACCATAACTATTTCATAGTTTACATTCCTGAAATTATTTATTTCCTTTGTTATATCCTTTGCCACATTTCTGCAAAGGCCCCAAGAAACCGCGATTCACTTCTTGCATCTGAAGTTAAGCAGGAGTGTGCGCGCTCCTTGGAAATTTCCTTTCTCCCTGTGAGATATTCCAATCGATGGCCTATATTACAGTCAAAGTGAAAGCCAAACAACATTCTTTCATCTCTTTGCACACAAGCCTTCAGCTGCGAGAAATACACCCAAATGTAAACGTTCACAATAAATTCAACGCCTTTGGCCCAAAGCTCAGGAGACGAGCATCTGGGAGTCAAAGCTGGGGAAGAAGTCAGTGAACGTAAGTGTTTAAAAAGTAGGACACAGCCAGATTTAGGAACAAAGACAGAGCATGGATATGTTACTGCACAAAACCAGGACACTTTGTCCATCGCCGTGGCTCACTCACTAACACACACTCACCTTTGGTCAATTGGTTGCGAGTACAATAATGGGACTGTGAACTCACGGGGGAAGAGAGAGAGAGGACTGCATTGGTGGTGGAGGTGACATCCTTTGGATGAGATGATATCCCGAGGTCCCACCTCCCGGTGCAGGTGGGCATTAAGGATCCCGTGACACTTTGAGAAGAGAAGGGAGTTTCTCTGTCCCGGTTTCGCCGCCCCCAACCCCCCCTCCACCGCCCGATAAAATCAATCGTTCACCTCATCACTGCGTGCAAAATACAGTCACTGCGCTCTTATGTTTTTGAGACGACTCAAAGGGCTTCACGGAGTATACTGTAAAGCGAATTGAACTGGGTATTTTGTGGGTGAAATGCAGAAGCCAAATGCGCACAGCAGCGTCCCACAAACACCCGTGGATTGAGTGACCGAATTATTATGTTTTTTAAGGGAAAAGCGATCCGCCAATTAACTTGCCCACCTTTTCACCCTGCCCGTGAAGCGAACCCGGAGGGCTCTGAGGTCTAAGCTGCAGGACATTTGTTAGCAGTGTTCTACCTTTGTACAATCGACCCTTTGCAGGCAAACATTTTAAACCACAGAAGAATGGCAGCGAAAGGATGACCTGAATTGCTGAAATGTAATAATCGCGACGCTTTGTGGAGCCGGTGAACTCGCCAGTCTCATAAATAATGTATTGGTAATGAAACAGCACTGTGAGAAATGAAGCCTTTGCAGTTACAATGCTCTGGCAAGTAGCTTATTTACGCAATTGCAGTCACTGCAGACCATCTTAAAAACAAAGTGCTATTTTCTTGTGCAATACTTCCCAGTGCCACAACCACTCCAAAGGTCAACAGCAACGACAACAACTTGCATTTATATAGCACCCCTCACGCAGGGTAGAGTCCCAGAGCGCTTAACTGTGGCGGAGGACGATGCCGAGCCCGGGGGTGGGGGGGGGGGGGAGTGACCGTAGGTCAAAGAGGAAGGTCTTCTGGTGAGTCTGTGGGCAGGAGTTCGGGTTGGCATCTTCCCCTTTCTTTATCAGACCACCAGACTGGAACCAAAGCCCCACCGATGCCAATTCTAATAATAACCCTAACATTTACATAAGAATTGCTAAACGAAAGAAAACCAACCAGTTCGCCCTCTACCATCCTGGCAGTCGCACATGTCCTAATAATAATATTCCTTGCATTCCGCTTCACAGAATATACTGTAAAGTGAATTGACTCTGTGTTTTATGGGATGAAATGCAACAGCCAATTGCACGCAACAGCGTCCCACAAACAGTCCTGAATTGAATTTCTTATTCTTATTTTTTGGAAGGATTTATTACCCTCGTAAAAGCGATTCAATCGACTAACTTGACTAACTGCTGGGTAAACAGAGGTGGGTGGGGATGGGAAACTTGTCCAACGTTTTGCCCTGCCGGGAATCATGCCAAGGTCTCTCGCTTGCAAGGCGAGTGCTCTAACCATTGAGCTACAGGACTCCAGTATATACCACCCCTCACCCAGGATAGTGTCCTACAGTACTTGATAGTGGCAGAGCCTCATGCTGTACGTGTGCACGAGAGATTTTATCTGGACGATTGCTGGACTCCTTTACAGTTGATTTATTTTAATGGGAGCAGGGCATTGTCAAAGCCTAAATGATCTGCCAAGATCCAATAAATTGGTGAGTCAGATTCGATGGGCTGAATGGCCTCGACTCCCCCAATCTGTTCTTGTTTTTCAATGAAACCGAGGCAGCCATAAATCAGACATACTGTGGGGAGTTTATGCCGTAATCAAAGCACTCCCCTCAGGGCTATTTGCACATCACGCAGAGAACATCTGGCCTCATAACATCTCAGGAGGTCATCTCTCCCCTTGTAGCAAGAGAACATCCTGCTCACTGCTTCACCCTCAACTTGATTGTTTGACTATCCAATAATAAATAAAATAAATGTAGACAATTCCCAGTTTGGTTTGGATATTCTTAAGCACCGTGATGGGTTTCCGCATGTGTCAGACACCTGGCTGACGAACAAAATATCTAATAAATATAATATATATAACAAATGTACATATAGAAACAAATATTTGTATTTTGCTGCCGCGTTTCACCCAGAAAATGCACAGTCACTCCACTTTTCAGTATATTCTGTGGAGCGTTTTGAGGCAACTTGATAAGGCGCTGTGTTAAATGCAAGGATTTTTATTATTATTAATATATAAATCAATCAATAACTGACTCCCTCATTCACTTGCTCACTGCTATTTGTGGGACAATGCTGTATACAAATTGGGTCCCTCGCCTTCAAGCCTCTGCCTACAAAATACAGTCACTGCACTTCACAGTAAACCCTACGAGGCACTTTGAGATGTTTTTGACAATGTGAGAAAGCGCTGGCATTCTCAAGGATAATGACAGTGATAATCACTGCACATATTCACTTTCGATTGTCGAATTGATTTATTTTCATTCCTCAGAACATGACTAAAATGAAATGCGACAGATGTAGGAACGTTTATTACAGCGGGTGGGAAGAGAAGGATCAGCAGAGAAAAGAACATTGGTTTCCTCGACAAATCAACCCTCACCACGTTTATCTTGTAAAGCGGCTACGTGGGAATCGAGGAAGAGAAGCAACAACACTTTAATATATACTATATATTTATTAAATTTAATAATTATATATAATAATCCTTGCATTTGACATAACGTCTTATCACGTCATTGAGACGTCTCAAATATACTGTGAAGTGGATTTATTTTGTGTTTCATGGGCAAAACCCGACAGCCAATTGTGCTCAGCAGTGTCCCACAAACAGTCGTGGATTGAGTGACTAAATTATTTTTTTTAAAAAGGGATTATTACCCCCGGAAAAGCGATCCACCAATCGACTAAAAAATGGGTTCCTACTACCTGCTAGGTAAAAGAGGCGTGTATATGGGTGAAAAGGGTGGGGGGGAGAGTGTGTGAACGAGAGAGGGAGGATCTTTAGCTTCCGCATGAACAGGGCAGAGACATCACGTCAACCTGCAACACATTCCTCTGCAGACAACGAGTGGCTTGGGGGGGAATAACAGAGGTGAAACTTCATTTCGTTTAACGCTGGGTTACGTCAAGCTGCTTGGTTTATGTTATGAATACGAAGACAATGCGACGATGAAGGTTGCTGCTGCTCCAAATAGCTTTGAGGCCCAACCGTCTAAATGAACAGCCACCTTGAAATAACCATCATTTATCTTGTAACATTTGTCACCAGGTTTACGCAGCAAACTGGATTAGGGGATCTCCAGTCTTAATAGGAACTGTGAATTACTTTTTCCGCAGTGCGAACTCGCCACCTCGTGGCCAAAATTGCACAGGACCGACTAAAGCCACAGACGTGGGCCAAAGCAGAGCACGGCAGCAATAAACAAGGCAAAGGGGCCAAATCAGTTGAGTTCAGATTCAGATATAGGGCCTTATCACATCGTTCAGACGTCTCAAACCGCTTCACAGAACCCACTGTAAAGACAACTGACTGCGTATTTTGGGCTGAAAGATCTGTTTCCCTGGTGTATCACAATGCAAGACATTACACTGGAACGAGGTAGAACTGCAAGGTTTCCTGACGTAACATGCAAGAGACTCCAACAGCCTTTCTGATCTAGAGGAGGGTTAATTTGAGCCGATCGCAACTTCAGCTCATGAGGGAATGTGGTTGTCGTGTTAACAGACAGCAGAGGAAGTTTCACAGAAGACTTTATCTGTCAAGACATTGCCTCATTTCCCGATTTCTGCAAAGAAGAGCATCAAGAGAGCGGTTACGCTAATCCAGGGCATTGCTTGTGTCTATTTGCACGCATTAATGTTCCACAAACAGCCAGGAGGTGAATGACCAATTTAACTGAAGGATAATAATAAATAATAATAATCCTTGCATTTGATATAGCGCTTTTCACGTCTTCTCGACATCTCAAAGCGCTTCACAGAATATACTGTAAAGCGAATTGACTGTATATTTGTAGGCGAAACGCGGCAGCCAATTGCGCACAGCAGTGTCCCACTAACAGTCGTGGATTGAAAATGACCAATTTATTATTATTTTTGGAGGATTATTAGGTGTATGGAGTAAGGAAACTTGCCCAAGGTTTCGCCCTCTGCCTGGAATTGAAC